TCCGGCCAGAGAGGTCATTCACTTCTCTCCCTACAAATGGTGGGTTCACCTGGGATTCAGAGTTGCGCCAAAGTCTTGTTCCTGCCGAATGAATATTCTCCCCTTCTATCAGCTCTGCCTGGATGGTTCTCCTGCCCTTCTTTGCTGCTTATGAACCTGTGGAGGAAGCAAGCTCTTCCCCAAAGCCTTGAGAGCCCCGTGGGGCACAGCTTATGTCCTCTCTGGCCTTCAAAGGCATGAAAAACAGCCCTTGTCTTAACAGCATCCTCCTCTCTCCAGCTGCTCCAGAAATATCCCCGCCAGGATCAGGGTTTTATGATACCACGGATGGCACCCAGAGGGTCAATATTACCCTCCAAGTCCTGCACCGATAAATAGATAAAATGTTTATTACAGTCGCGGGCCAACCTACAAGGGAGCCATTCTACGGCCGCCATAATTCACCATAAAATTGACAGTAAAAGGTATTACGATCTGGAGACTTTAGAATCTGGCAGAAGTGCTTCTCTTCATGAGCCCCAGAGGAGAAGCTGCAATGCAACTGGGAGGCCATCCCTGGAGGTCCTTAGAGCCGTCCTGAATACAGAGGAATAAGCCCTACTCAGGGGTTTCTCCGGCCCCCGACTGCTCAGCCCCAGCAGTCCGTGGAGTTATAGGTTACACACGGATTTTCTCTCTAACGAACTGCAGCTGCTTGCAGTTGAAAGGCATCCACTCCTGTTGCTCTCAGGGGTGTCCGTGGGGTGATCAGAAAAAGGATTGGAGGGTTCTAAACTAGTGGTCACCAACTGGTGGTCTGTGGACCATTGGTGGTCTACGAGAAAATTTTGGTGGTCCACAGAAAAATTATTTGCATTTTTTATATTGCACCAAATCAGGGGTCCTCAAACTACGGCCCCTGGGCTGGATACGTGTAATGAACGATTGTTTTGCTGCAGAGAATCTCCCCCTTCGGGGTCTTTTTGTGCAGGTCGGAGGGGGGCAGAAATTCCGACTTGGGGTCTGTTTCAGCCTCCTGGTGCAGGGCTTTGGCGGAAGGCTGGAGGGAAGCACCGTTGGTGGCGAAGAGCCGGAGGGCCTCGTTCCGGGGGAACAGCATCATGGCCTGTACCTGGCTGACTATCTCAGCCTGCTGAGCCTCCAGGTGCCTGTACCTGGCCTTGCACTCCCACAGGTCTTCCCTCTGCTTGGAAAGCCTATGCTCCTAGTCCTCAGTGAGGTGCTTCTGCTGAGCCTCCTTCTCGGCCGGATCCAATTTGAACTGAGCTGTTTTGCCAACTCTTTCTCCTGGTGGCTGCTTAGCTCCAATAACAGGGCCTGGTGACTCAGCAGACTGATAGCATTGTGATTAACACCAGCTGTCTGCAATTACTGTAAGTTCGAATCTCACCAGGCTCAAGGTTGACTCAGCCTTCCATCCTTTCTAAGGCAGGTAAATTGAGGACCCAGTTTGTGGGGGCAATAAGCTGACTTTGTATAAATATACAAAAGGATGAAGGCTATTGCTTAACACACTGTAAGCCGCCCGGAGTCTCCGGAGAAGGGCGGCATATAAATCAAAGCAAAAAAAAGAACTGCTTCCTGTTGGGGCCCTAAGGAGCCTGGGCGGGGAGGCGAGGAGTGGCGGGGAGGGGAGGGGCGAGTAGAGGCCAGTGACCATGCCCACCGAGTCACATGACCAGCTAGCCATGCCCACCCAGCTGGTCATCAGGCAGATCATATTAGTGGTCCGCGGGATTTAAAATTATGAATTTAGTGGTCCCTGAGCTCCGAAAGGTTGGTGACCCCTGGTCTAAACCATGCAATAGAAGTCCCACCTTTGCTGACCTGGCACCCCCTTCCCAGCAGACGCCCCTGCAGCTGTCACTGGGGAAACTAGGTGGATTTCCCAGAAAAGAAAGAGGTGCACCTCGAGATATTGTCCTGGAGAAAGGTCCTCTCATCGTGTAGGGGGGAGGGAGCACAAGCAGGACCCTCCCTTGGGCATGATTTCCGTCTCTGCCAACACTTGCAGTGGTGACTCACAAGGCGGAGGGCACTCCGCCTGGATCCAGTCCAGCACTGAAGGCAGCCTGCCAGAAGCTCTCCTGAAGCTGCCACCTGCTCTTCCAGCAGGAGCTGTGAGCCCGGGAGAAACTGCAGACCACCTCTGAAGGGGGGGGGAAGAATGACCCCTTGCAGAAGCAAAGAAGGAATTTCTCAGGAACTGCTAATCCCACCAACCAGAAGTTGCTCTGTCTCATTTTTCATTTCATTTATTACATTTTTATACCGCCCCTCTCCCGAAGGACTCGGGGCGGTGAACAGCCAGGATTAAAAAACATACAATAGAAACATTAAAATACTTTAAAACATAATTAAATCTATATTGGCTTCCCCCAATTTAAAACCCCTTACCCATAAAATTAACCAATTAAAAATTTTAAGCCAGCCCGGCTTGCTGAAATAAAAAAGTCTTCAGAGCCCAGCGAAAGGTACAGAGGTCCGGGATTAGTCGTATCCCTGGGGGTAGCTCATTCCAGAGGGCGGGTGCCCCCACAGAGAAGGCTCTTCCCCTGGGGGTCACCAGCCGACATTGCCTGACCGACGGCACCCTGAGGAGAACCTCTCAGGGTCTCAGAGGGGCCCCGTTGGGTCCTTCCCTCCCACTCGACCCTCCTCCAGGAGGACCAGGAAGATTGCAATTCAGTCCCTGATCTCGGTCCTCCACAAGGAGGACCAAAGAGTTTCCATTCTGCCAGGGCCTCAATCATCCAGTTCCTCCAGGGCCCTCACTTTCTCCACCACCTTTCCAAGCCGAAGAAAGTGGGAGCCTGGTCTGGGACTAAGACCACCAGATCACACAAAGTCTTCCTGAGTTGGGAGCCACCAGGGACCCCTCCAGATGCAGTGGAAGCCCCCCCCCAGCCGACGGCATCCTTCAACCGCCTTCCACCTCCCCAACTGCCCCTTGTGGGACGGAGATCCAACTGAGAAGGGGCACAGCCAACCCTGCAGGGGGCACAGAGACCCCGTCAGCACCTGGAAGCAGGCAAGGCAACGAGTGGGCTGCAGCCGCTTCCTCTCACCCAAGCTTCAGAGCAGGATCATTGGGGTTCTGGAAGAAGCTCCTGGGTTTTTAAATCCTTGTTAGAGATTAAGGGTTCTTTGGTGCCCCCTGCTGGTCTATGGACGCAAAGCTGTCATTCCTTATTTGCAAAAAAAAAAACAAAAACCCCAAAAACAACAACCAGAACAGGTGAAGGTATTAAATATACCTTGGCCTGAACCCAAGAAAAATGTTTAATCATCTTGTGGGATAAAGATTAACACATTTTCCACTTCACGCTTCATGTCTCCTCATGGAAAAGCTGCAGAAATGGAAATGACACCCCATAAAAGGCAAAGGGGAAAATGGTGTTGATTGTTCTCCAAAGTTGCTATTTGGCTCCTGAGCGTTTCATTTCCAGATTAGGTAACATCACCAGTGGAATGTCAGAAACGGTCGGCTCCTCTCTTGGAGCTGCACTTCTTTATCAGGGAGGGTGGGGGGTGCCTGCTTCACAAACTCAACTCAACCGATTCTCCAGGCTGGTCTTAAAGGGAGAAGTTCCTTTTCAAGGAAGAGATGAAAGGGGAGTGGGTGACTCCACTGGGATTGGCCTGTCCCACTCCTGCCGGCAAAGAAGGCATGGTGGGGTCCAGGAAGAGGGTCTTCTCTGCTGCTGCTCCTGCCCTCTGGAACATCTCCTGCCCACCAAGTGGGGTCCAAGGTGTGTCTCTGCCATTTGGTTTGGGGCCCCAATGGGGGAGCAGCACAATGGAGGCTGATTGAGTAAATAAGAGATGATACCCCACCTCCCACTTCGCTCTGGCTTATTTAGGGGCGTTTATGGAAGGGGTTGGGGTCACACAATGTGCTACGGCCACCTGAAAGCCACAAGAACTCATCTCCACCTGTGCTCAGCCAACTTAGTGGAGGGGGAAACTCCAGCCCACACACACACACACACCCTTGTGCGGTGGCCACGGGCTTCCATCGTGCAAGATGCAATGGGGAACCACCTTGGATGTTTCCAAGCAGAAAGTTGGCGTATGACCCGTTCAAGTAGCCAAGCCTGTTTCTCCACCCTACCTGTTGGCCTGAAGCCGCCCAATGCAGGGTTAGGAGAGGCCAAGCAAAAGGGAAGCCTTTCTAGCAAGCAGTCGTCTTCTGCCTGAGTGGCCCCAGAGAAACGAGGGTTGACCCCCAAGGGAACAACTAGTCCAGAGGAAACACACTGAGGTGGCTTGGCCACCCAGAGACCGAAAGAGAGCGAAGGGAGAAGAGCGAATGGATCGAGAGGAAAAGGAGATGGGTGCCGTTACTCACAAAGACCCAAGATGTAGCGAATGGGCTGATCTAAACAGCTTTAATCATATTTTGGTACTTTTCAACTTCTTTAGTTTACTTTTCCATGTGGAGTAAAAGAGTAAAAGCTCCAAAAGAGAAGAGTGTGACATGGGACAAGTAATATCCAGCTGTGCGATGTACTCCGTGGGACCCCCGAATGGAGCAGGAGCTGCCCACCAATCCCCACAGGGGGCCTGAAGCGCTGCCAAGAGCCACAAGGCCACTTAGCTTTCCCTGCATGACAGGCAGAAGCTGGTAGACAAAATAGCTTTATTGTGATCCTTAACGCAGCCTTGCAAGTACAAGGTCGCTTAAGTGCCAGAAGACTGAGCTCCAACTGGGGGAAACGAAGAGAGAGAGAGAGTCGAGGCGGCACCCACGACGGATGCCAAGCCAGAAGCCCCGCAGGTGAGAGTAGAGGAGGAAGAGGAGGAGGAGGAGGAGGGAGCCGGCGGCAGCAACAGCAGCCAGGAAAAGCGCAGCGCGGAAAGAGAAGCCGAGCGCCCGCTCCCTCCCTCCCTCCCTCCCTCCCTCCACGAGGACTGGAGCCTTGGCCGAGGTGAGTGACCTGGGAGGCGTCGGCTGAGCGAAAGGCGCGCCAAAGGGAGGGCGCGGAGGGCTTGCGGGGAGGGGGTGAGCTTCACTTGGGAGCCTTTGGGGAGCCTCGAGGCTCCCCTTCCGCTGGAAAAGTTCCGCTCCGCGGCTTCTGTCTTCGGGAGGGCAGCGGCGCGGCTCCTCCCTCGGTCTGTCCCGGAGAAACTCGGGAGTCCGCTCACGTTCCCAAAGTCGCGATTACGCCCCGAAGAGCGTTTATCCCGGACCGGGACCAGGGAGGGAAGAGCAGCCGCCCCTGCCGCCCCAGAGGCGACTCTGGCCGGATCCTACCTGGTTCCTCTCCGCAGGAAGGTAAAGTTGGAAAGTTCGGGAAAAGTTTTTCCAAAGGCCCAAGAAAGTAGCCCGACTGACTGGCGCATCTTCAGAGGAGAGAGAGCTTTGTTCGGCCCCTGCGCCAGGGTTCTTGCCGCGAAGGCTCCGGCCAAGGGTCCATAAAGTCTGGGGGGGGAGGGAGCCAGGGCGGTCTGCCCCCCCCCCATTAAAAAAAAATCCCGGCATTGCAGGACGATCGTTCGGCACGGAGGCGGCGGCTGATTTCGAGTTGCGGAGCCAACTTCTCTTTCCCCAGCCCCCCCCCAGCCCCCATTTCGCTGTCCTTGTGCACCAAGGCCTGACGCCTGGGTGGTCACCATGACAACCCTTCCCCAGGCCTAAAGGCCCGGGCAAGGCGGGAGGCCCCCTGCAAAGGCTTTTGTGATGCAGTCCTTGAAGGGGCCCTTCCGTGGGAAGAATGCTGCTGCTGCTGTGCCCCCCTCCTTCTGACCCACTTCTTGGCACATGCAACACCTGCAGGGTCTGAGGGGTTCCCAGAGGGGTCTGCAATCCGGGAGTGAGAGGGACGGGGGGGGGCTCCCTCACTGCTGAGCTAGGCTGCTCTCCCACCCCTCCTGAGCCAGCTGCAGCAAAGAACCCTGACACCCACCCACCCCCGTTGCCAGTTGCCCTCCTAACATGCCCATCGGCCTCTGCAAGAGGAGGGGGCAGACGCCTGCCGGTGGGGCTGCTTTAGCTGTGGGCAGCTGAGGAGGACTGGGGCTGCTTTGAGATGGTGGCCGTTAGGGGTGAGTGGGGAAAGGCCCAGGGGCAGGCTGGGGGTGGGAGGCAGGGCGTGGGGGTGGGGGTGCAGGATTGGTATTCGTGCCTCTGACTTGAAGGCTTCAGTGCAGGGGCCTCCAAAGTTGGCAACTTAAAGACTTGTGGACTTTAATTCCCAGAATTCCCCAGCCAGCATGTCTTGGGGAGGGGCAATGGCTGCCTAGGGAATTCTGGGAAAGTCCACAAGTCTTTAAATTGCCGCATTTGGAGGTTCCTGCCTTCAGTCCTCTGCAACTGGGGCAGACTTAATTAGCATCCATTGTAGTTTCCAGGCTGCTGTAAAGCAGACTGAGAGAGACCTGGTCTAGTCTTAGCAGCTCCATCCAGCTTGCCTGTGGAGCGGTTTCAGTCTTACTAGTTTTAATCTCTGGGTTGGAAAAAGAATCCACGTTGCTAACTTGCCTCGAGAGTTCATCTGAGGAAAACCCCAATATTAATAATTTGGTTTGTGATAGGAGATGTAGGGAATTAAAGCAACCATGTTTAGGGCACAGCAGGAAGGCCCCTCCCTGCCCCCCCTCTCCTCCAGGGGCAGGGCGAGGGTAATTCCGGGCGCTTCCTTTGCGGGCACAGAAGAGGCTGGGCTCCCTCGCCAAAGGCTGCCCCCAAGCCGGATTTTCAGCAGGAGTTTTTTCCCTTCCACTTTCCCTTTTTCCCACCTGGGAGAAGATGGCGGGTTAAACAGCTTTCCAAAGTGCCTCCGTGCATAGCGGGCTTGCCCCAACCTGCAGCCTTGGGGTGGGGTGGCCGGGCAGGGCTCACCTGGCCAGGTTGCACAGGTTTCCGTGCCTGGTTGGGATCGGCTGCTCTTGGAATCTGCAGATGAGTCAGGGGATCCTGTTGAACTCGCCTCCCGCAGCTCACCAGACGGTCCCTGCAGTTGTGGGTGGATGGGAAAGAGGAAGGGGGCAGGAGGGGGGGGATTCTGATGAATGAGCAAGGAGGAAGGTCTGTGGAGTCTCCTTCCTTCTCCTCCTGACGGTCTCCCCCAGGACGCCTGCCTGCCGGGCCCCCCAAGCTCTGCCTGCTTTGCCTTGCAGGGCGGGGCTGCCCCTCCCCAAGACGTGACCGGCCATGGCGAAGGAGAAAGGGGGCTGCCAGCGCTTCTGCACCACCTGCCTGCTGGGCCTGTTCGGCTGCCACTGGACTCACAAGAAGGGCCTGAAGACAAGCAAGGTGTGTCTGGAAATCCCCCCCCCCGCTCTACGGAGTCCTTGGAGGAATGGCGGAAGGCCCACGCCATGCCCCTGTCCCCTCTGGGGATGGGCTGCAGACCCCTCCTGCCTTTTAGGGTCCCCCAAATAAGCTGGGCCTTGATTAACCACTTGAACTGCATGGGAAGCACTGAAGGGCTGCAGATGCCCCCCTCTGGCCAAGGGGTGGGAGGGGAGCTGACTGGGAGGATTCGGCTCTCCCACCTGAACCTGCTTGGGTGGAGGGTCCCAGGCTGGCAGTGTCAGCTGAGCCGCCTCCTCCGCTCCATCCTCAGTGTGACTACGTCTGGTTCTTCCTGCTCTTCTGCATCGGCCTCCTTGCTCTGGCCTGGCTCTACGTAGCCCTGGTCACCCTCAACGATTTCCACAACTTCAACGAGTGAGTAGAAGGCACACACACACACACCCGTCTCTCCACACACACACACACACACACACACACACACACACACACACATTGTGCCCCTTTCTGACCTTTGGGTAAGTTTTATCTGCCCTCCCTTCCTCCCCCCCCCCACACAGGTTCATCTTCCAGAAGACAGAATGGTGGCTGGACTGGTCAGTGGTGATGCTCTCCGTGACAGCTACCCTGGTCACCTACTCCTCTCTGCTGCTGGTAGGGCCCCCCCCTTCGTCTTTCCTCCCCCTCCCCTCCTGGCCAACGTGCAGTGATTAGGGGGTGAAGTTCCCCTGGTTCTGGGGGTTTCTGTATCACCCCACCCCACCCCATTGCTGATGGTTTTGGGAGGATTTCAGGATACCTCTATGCCCATGATGGTGAACCTGTGGCACGCGGAGCCATATCTATGGGCCCGTGAGCGTTGTCCTAGCTCAGCTCCAGCGTGCATGCGTACACCAGCCAGCTGGTTTTCAGGCCTTTTGGGCCCACCAGAAATCGGGAAACGGCCATTTTTGGCCTCCAGGAGGGTGGGGGAGGCCATTTTTGCCCTCCCCAGGTTCCTAGAAAGCCTCTGGAGCCTGGGGAGGGCAAAAACAGGCCTACCGAGCCCACCGGGCCATCACGTGCCAAAAGCGGGGGGAGTGCAGGTGGGTCGCATGGATTCATGGGGGGTGGGGCACATTGAATTATGGGCGTGGGCATGTGCACATTCAACCCCCCGCGCTCCCCCCCCTCCACTTTTGGCAGGCGATGGCAAGAAGGTCAGCCATCACTGCTCTGTGCTATAAACTAAATTCTGACCCTCAATTTGGACTCAGTCATTCATGGGGAGGGAGAGGGGGGAGGAGTGTCACAGCAGCATCTAACAGAATAATCTCGGCCATATCGAGGGGCCGATATTATACTGGCACAAGGGAGCACCGATTCACCCTGAAGAATGGGCAACCACGTTTCTTCAGTTCAAATTGGACAGACTTAGGTGGGCAAACCACACACACCCACACCCAGAAGACAGAAGAGGGGAGAGGTTAGCATTTGGGCATCTCAGGCTTGGAGAGTTACAGTAAATGGGCAGACAAGAAAAGGGATGCTCACTTTGTAAATCAGGTCTAGACGTTTCCTTTTCTTGGCGTGTGGTAATCTTCACCCACCTTGACTGGTCTACCTGGGATTAAGGGAACTGGGTTGTCCGACACATCCAGAAGGGTGAGATTTGCATAAACTCTGCCTCATTGCAGGGTCTTTCCAAGCGAGGTCATCCCATCCTGTCCTCCTAAAGCAGGGGTGAAATCCAGCAGGTTCTGGAGAACCAGTAGTGGAAATTTTGAGTAGTTTGCAGAACCGGCAAATACCACCTCTGGCTGGCCCCAGAGTGGGGAGGGAATGGAGATTTTGAAGGATCCTTCCCCCAGGAGTGGGATGGGAATGGAGATTTTGCAGTATCCTTCCCCTGCCATGCCCACCAGACCACACCCACCAAGTCATGCCACGCCCACCAAGCCACGCCCACAGAACCTGTAGTAAAAAAAAATTGGATTTCATCACTGTCCTAAAGGTTTTCTTGCCCCGAGCAGCTATATGGAGTGAGGACATTCAGATTTTCCTTCCTTTTCATCCCAGATTTTGGCCCTCTGCCTACAGCTGTGCCATCAGCCCCTGAAGCTGCATTGGCTGCACAAGGTAAGGCTTGCTTGCTTGCCTCCTTTCCTTTCGTTGGGCAGAAGCCATAAGGTTTTCTGCGCTGCTCTCTCCGTGATCCCCGTTGGGTGGGAGGCTTCTGAGGCCTCCCTGGGATGCCCTCTGCTTGATCGTTCCCTTGCCAACACCCACCAGCCGGTGTGTTGCCCACAGAGGACCTCCTTTCCTTCCTGGAGAGGGGTTCTTCGGGTGACTTCCTGGACCTTGAAGGTGCCCTCTCTGTTTCTTCCAGGGCTTTCTGATCCTGACTCTGCTGATAGCAGTGGCTGCTTTTGTGGGGCTGCAAATTCAGTGGTCGGAGCAATGGGAGAGTGCCCACATTGCTCTACAGGTAAGGGCCCTAAGAGAAGCCCAGGGCTGCCCTTCCCTGCTTTAAGCCAAGGCACCTGCAGAGTTGTCTGTCCAGCTGTTCTTGTTCTCTGTTCCCCCTCTGTTAGGGGACTGGAGGCTAAAACGTATGGGGAACGGTTGCAGGAATTGGGTATGACTAGTTTAATGAAAAGAAGGACTAGGGGAGACATGATAACAGTCTTCCAATATTTGAGGGGTTGCCACAAAGAAGAGGAGGTCAATCTATTCTCCAAAGCACCAGAAGGCTGGACAAGAAATAATGGGTGGAAACTAATCAAGGAGAGAAGCAACCTGAAGTGTCTTTTTTAACCAGTGGAATAACTTGTCTCCAGAAATTGAAGGTTTCAAAAAGAGATTAGACAGCCATTTGTCTGAAATGGCCCAGGGTCTCCTGCTTCAGCAGGGGGTTGGACTAGAAGACCTCCAAGGTCCCTTCCAACTACGATTCTGTTCTTGTCCCACCTGCTGGCTGAGCTGCAGCAGGTGACTTAGCATCTCGTACATGGAGAGATGCCCAGCTGGGGCCCCAGAGAATGGAGGCTGGGCAGCCATCAGATGGGCATATCTGAGATCTGGATGAGCACCCTTTTGGGCTAATGGTCAGACCTTTGGCTCCATGAAATTGGCAGGCTGGGGGCACTGAGTGATAGACAACTGTGTGCCATTTAGCAGGGGAGACTCTCCAAGACAGGTATGCCTTGCCATAGGATCATAAATCCTTGTGTGAGGACCAAAAGGGCCAGGAAGTGGGACGTGGCAGCTTCTGGTTGAGGGAGAGCAGCAGGAGAGAGAATTTCAGAAGGACTCCGTTTGCCAAATCCAAGGGATGTTGTGGCTTTTCCTTCAGGGAGTGGGTGTGGAGCCCTCTCCTGACCCAGCTGCCCTTCTCCCTAATCCTGGGAGGCTTCAGAGCTTCTGAACTGTGGCCTCTCTGGGCCAGCCTTCCCTCGGTGCCAACTGCGGCTCCCTTGGAAAGGCCAACGCCTTGTATTGTATCCTGCCAGGCGACCGGCCCCTTCCTGCACATTGGAGCCGTGGTGGGCCTGACGATGCTTGCCTGGCCAGTAGCAACCTGCTTCTACCGCCTCTCCCGTGCAGGTACTGAGGGTGGGGGATGGGGGATTGTTCCTTGGGGCTCCGCCCTTGGGCGCCTCTTCCAAGGTGAACCCTAACACACAGGCACAGCTTCTTCCTGAGCTGTTAAAAGGATGCCTGGAAGTTGGGGGTCTCGGATGTTGGGGGTCCCGAAGTCTGTGATGGAGTTTTTTCCTTAAACTGTTGGGACAGCCTTGAAGGAGAAAAAACATTGTGGGCTGGCAGATTTCAGCCGGATGCTAGGAAAACCTTCCTGAGCGCAAGAGCGGAATGCAGAGAGCTGATGTGGGGATCCAGTAGCCGACTTCAAGGGGACCAGGGGGCCCCACTGACTGCTTTGGGCCCTCTTCCATTTGTTTTGCTGCAGCACTCCGTGGGGTTCTCCTGGTCTTGTATCTGGGCGCAATGCTGGCTTTATACCTGGCCCCCCTGGGCATCGACTCGCCCTGCTTCCTGGAGCACAGCCAGCTTCCCCCCAAACCAGCTCTGTTTGGGCACCGTGGGGCTCCCATGGTAAGTCCCTGGCCCTGGAATGAGGCCAGCCAGGCTCCCAGGAGGGCGACCCTGCAGAAGACCTTCCAGAAGCTGGAATAATCTGAGTGCTTCTCCTGATCTTGGTCACTGAGAATTGTACAATGCAACAGTGGAGCAGCTGCTGGAAGATGCTCACCTTCCTGGATGAGTGTCTGTAATTTGGAGAAAAGGGGAACTGTCTTCAGCTATCTTCCCCAGCTGTTCCACTGGTTCTTTTCACGCATGTGCTTTGCACGCAATCGTAAGCAGGTTAGGTTTCTGGCCAGCTGAGGTGCGGCAATCCATTCTGCTGCACCAATCAGCTGGGCTAAAAAGCAAGGAATAAAGATAGGAGGCGGGCAGGAGGGCCCAGCTCCCAGTGAAAGAGAACCGGTTCGGTGACGTCACATCGTCATCACTACTGGCTCGGCCGAACCGGGCTGAACCAGGAGCAATCCTCCACTGTTCCAGATGTGTCTATGAGCCCAATGTCTGTACTGGGCGGGGGGCTGGGGGGAGTTGAAGCCCAACATATCTGGAGTGCCCCAGGTTGGAGAAGTCTCTGGGGTCTTCCTCCTGAACGCAGCAGGCCTGTTTCAAGACAGATGTGTCCTTGAAACTGCAGCAGCTTTTCCAGGCTGACTTTCTAGCCTTGCTGGGATTTTTCTGCCTTTTCCTCTTGGATTAAAATGGTATGGCGTCTCCTGCTTGTGCAAGGTCCCTTCCAACTCGGTAAGACATTGGGAAGATGTCCCAGCTCCACCTCTTTTTCCTAAGGACCCTCCGACCTGTCAGAATTGCTCCATCTGCAAGATGATGTGTGGAGCCCCCTCCTGGAGAGCTGGGCAGTGGGCTCCACAGGCTCTGGCTAGGGGTCTCAAGAGGGGGGTATCCCAAACACACCCACCCACCCACCCGCTTCACCTTCATTCCCCCTCTCACCAGCTGGCACCAGAGAACACAATGATGTCCTTCCAGAAGGCCATCAATTGTGGCCTCAGCGTCTTAGAAACCGATGTCCGGGTGAGGTAAGAGACAGGCTGAACAGCTGTGGCCCTGTTGGAAGATTTTGGCAGGGTGGGAATCAGGGGTGAAATTTAAAAAAAATCCCTTACCAGTTCTGTGGGCGTGGCTTGTTGGGGGGAGGTCATGTGACTGGGTGAGCATGGCCAACTCGACATCACTCACATCGAGGGGCTCCTCACCGGCCCCTCCCCTCCCAGCCACTCCTTGTTGCAAATGGCAGGAGAATGGGGAGGGGAACATTCCTGCCTACCATCCTTCCCTCAGTCTGTGCTGAGATTGAGGAATGGATGACAGGCAGAAAAATCCCCTTCCCCATTTTCCTGCCTTTCACAAAAGCTGCTCCCCCTCCCCCTCCCCCTCCCGGAGACTACCTTAAAAGGGACAGGCCGCAGCGGCTCCGTTCTGAATGGTGGGAGAAAAGTTAGCAGTCTCTCTGCTGCATTTAACATTGAATTCTGTGGAATATCAAGCTGCCAGAAGAGGGTGTGGATGGGGCCAAGGAGGGGTAATTACTACCAGTTCGGCAAACTGATGCCCATAATCCCTAGCGGTTTGCCCGAACCAGTAGGATTTCACCCCTGGTGGGAATCCAAATGCTGCCTCATCCCCCAGACAGGAAAGAAAGGTCCAGGATCCAGGTATTTCCTTCTTTTCTCAATCCAGTGCCGATGGGATCCCTTTCCTCATGCATGATAAGACCCTTTTACGGACCACAAATGTCCAGGAGGTCTTCCCCACCCAAGCCCACGCCAAGGCCACCGCCTTCAACTGGACGCAGCTGCAGCAGCTGGATGCTGGCAGCTGGTTTTTGCAGGTGAGAGCAGGATGGGGCCCCTTGATCCAAACAAGGTTTGATTAGGATTGGTTGGGCTGAACATCTGGCTCACTCGTCTAGATTTGGTTGATTTGAGGGGGGGAGTGTGAACCACCTTGGATTCTCTGGAGAATCCCTATTAGGGAACATCTGGGTCAGAAAGCAGATGGAACAGGGCCTGGGTCCTCATCTTTACAAGGGGAGTTTTCTGCACCTGCACAAAAGCAAGTAGCCACCCAGGAAGGACATGGTGGCTGAGGTCCTTACCAGGGGTGAAATCCACATTTTTTTACTACCGGTTCTGTGGGCATGGCTTGGTGGGCGTGGTGTGGTGTGGCTTGGTAAGCGTGGCAGGAGATACTGCAAAATCTCCATTCCCTCCCAACTCTGGGGCCAGCCAGAGATAGTATTTGCCAGTTCCCCAAACTATTCAAAATTTCCGCTACCGGTTCTCCGAACTGCTCAAAATTTCCGCTACCAGTTCTCCAGAACCTGTCAGAACCTGCTGCATTTCACCCCTGGTCCTTACTCATGACAAGAACCTTCCATGCTCTTCTTAACTCTTGGCCTCTAGGAGTTTCTTTTTCCACTAATAGTCATCTCATTTTTCTTGCTACTCCACACCTAATAATTGGGGAGGGGGAGATCTCCCCTCTGGCAAATCCACAGGTCTTTTCTATCAGAAATCACATCTTAGGGGTGTTAGGACTAATGGAAGGGCAGATTTAAACCCCTTCACTGATGGGACAACCTCCTACGCACTCCAAGAAGCTGGATTTGCATGGAGAGTCCAGTAGCCCATTGAATCCCGGTGCGTGATTTAACCTGGGTTGCCGTACAGCCGCTGGGCTCACCGCCTCCCTTTCCTTTGCCAGAAGCATCCCTTCCCCACAGCCTGGAGCCTTTCAGAGGAAGAGACGGCCCAGGCCAGGAGGCAGCGCGTTCCGTCTCTGAAGGAGCTGCTGGCGGAGGCCAAGGGGCACCAGGTGTCTGTCATGTTTGATCTGATGCCACTGGAAGACCCCCACTACGAGCGCCTGGTCAACATCACAGTGGAGACCATCCTCAAATCGGGCATCGACCAAGAGCTGGTGAGTTTTCCCTGTGGCGAGAAAGGCAAGTCTGTGGCCCTAGAACTGGAGATTCTCCTGGCCCTACAAATGGTGAGTAGGCCCTGCTACATCCTCTCTCTTCCCCAACCAGATCCTCTGGCTGCCTAATAAGTTTCGGAAGGATGTGAGACAGTGGGCACCCGGGTTCCAGCACATCTACGGCCCTGAAAGTTTGGACAACAAGACCAGAAGGCTACCACGAGTCAACCTAGCTTACCAAAAACTGAGCAGCAGAGAAATCAGGTTAGAGCTGGGCGGGGGCAGGGGAGCTCTTTCTTGGTGGGCACATCCTGGCCAGATCTGAGGAAGGGGGGGGGGCTTTATACAACTCTGTCTTTCAATCCCAGCTCAGCTTTTATGAAGGCAGATAGTTGGGAAATGTGTCGGGTATGGAAAGCAAAGATCTCTGAAGCCCCCCACCCCAATCGACAAATGGGAAGGGGAGGGCTCAAGCAGAGCAGGGGGCTCAACATAACTTCCGTCCACCCCACCCTCAATAACCAGTTAGCAAAAGCTGCAGAGCAACTGACAAAAGACTGTGTCATCTTCAGGTCCTTGTTGCACGGGGAGGCTTCGGACTCCCAAAGGCTGGGATGTAGCTGCAGCCTTCCTCAAGCCCTTCCATGCAAATTGTGCTATTATGGGTTGGTTCTGACCCCCACTTTATTGGCAAACTCCCCCCCCCACTTCTGCAGGGAATACCACCGTAACAATATCTCGGTCAACCTGTTTGTGATAAATGCTCCGTGGCTCTTCTCCGTCCTGTGGTGTGCTGGGACTACTTCGGTCACCACCAATGCCTGCCAGGTGCTACAGAAGATGCAGCACCCCCTCTGGCTACTGGTAAGACCACTGGGGGCAAGGGGGGGGCTACTGCTCCGTCTGCTGCAGCCCACTCTGACTCCCTGGGAGAAAGGGCTTAGCCAGGCAGCTGTCCACCCCTGCTTCCATCGAGCAGCCCACCCTGACATGCCGTTTCTTTCTCCCAGCCTCGTGCCACCTATCAAATGATCTGGATTGTGACAGATTGTGTGTCTTTCCTGCTGGTTCTCTCGGCTTTCTTGATGCTGAAGTGAGTACCAAGCGAACAGAGATGAGGAATCCGAGTCAGATAATAGGGCTTTTTCCAGCTTGCAAGCTCTGTAGTTGTGTCTTCTCAAGTAAGGGGTGTGGCTGCTACCATCACCTTTATGGAGGCTTGCCAATGCGCCTAGAGCTTAAGTCTACAGTTGGTGTTAGGTCTACAGTTGGAGACCCAGCCTTTCTACTAGAAGGTAGACGAGAAGCACCTACCGAAATCTTGCTCGGGGACAGTGTGCCCCGTCCTCACCCTGGACAGTTTAAGATGTGTGAACTTCAACTCCCAGAATTCCCAGAGTTGGAAGTTCTAGGTTCAGGGTTCAATTCCCAGAGTTGAAGACCGTACATCTTAAAAGTTGCCACGGTTGAGAAAACCTGGGTTCTGTAGGATTTGAGTTTCTCGGATGGGTCTTTTCGTTTTGAAAGAAGTGTTGTGGTGCCCTTGGGTGGAGCGCCGCATGACCTGGTCCAGCTGTGTCACAAGCATCAGAAAGGCCCCGGTTGCTCTCCAGCTGCCCTTCCAGGTGCCGACAGGCTCACTGGACATCATTCTGACATGATTATTTTCCCCCTCCTTTACAGAAGGTGGTCTCGGAAAAAGGACTCGAGAGGTAAAGCGGGTACTTTGGGAAAATGGGGTATTTCTACTCTGCTGTAGAAACAAAATGCCACTTTGGCACACAGCAGCTGCCCTGGCGACCAAGGAAGAGGGTACAGACAAGGGGAAAGGCTCTCACAGGCATTTGGGGGGAATTAAAGAGCTTTGTGGAGGGCTGCATATTCCTTGCCATCCTCCATTCTCATCTCCGTGAGCAGCTTCAAGCGAGGCTCGCTGTTCCTTGAAGGAACGTGGCTTCAGCTGTACATCCCCACCTCTGCCGAGCCCCGAAAAAAAGACGCAACGGAGTCCAGCGAAAGCCAGCCAGCCCCTCACAGGCATCTCCTCCCGCCTGCAGGTTCCAGCTCCGATGTGCTCCTGACGAAGATCCACAGCCTCTTGTCCGAGTGAGGCAGGAGCGTCCAGAAGCTCCGGGCTTTGCCCTCCCCCCCCCCCCCCCCCGCTTGCTACTCTTGGCAGGACTCTCCTCTTTCAAATGCTTCTCTGGGAACAGCCTGTCCTGGGTGTTTGCTGGCAGCGGCTGCTGGGATCTGTTTCAGGGGCCTGTATTGCACAGCCTTCAAAGGAGCAGCTTGGAAGCTGCGTTTCTTCTTGGAGAGCCGAACCCGGAGCCTTCCCAGATCCTGGAACTACTGCTAGAGCCTCAGGACAGAATTAGGCAGCTACCGACTCTCCTGCGGGACCATTTTTCTTCTTGATGGGGGGCTGGGGGGGATCTTGGAAGTGCCCAATAAAGCTGTTTGTACAGGCTGGGAAACCCGGAGCTGCTGTGAACACTTATTCCTCTCCCAGGGGGCCCAAATAAAGCGGGGGTGGGTGGGGGGGACACCTTTTCAATGCACAGCTGCCTCGGGTGTCCTACCTCTAGCAGCTTCCTGCCCCAGCCTGTGTTCTGGCAGCCTAGCTGGGTTCAAAGGCTCCAGGGTGGAGAAAACACGCTAACCTCACACGAGCCAGGCGGTCTGGGCACCAATGGCTGCGCTCCTTCCCATGTGGGAGTGTGTCGGATTGCAGGTTCAGCCCCAAGGCTTTTCCAGGAACAGCGTTCAACAGCAGAGCGTGCAAAACCACAACACCCAGCAGGCAAGTGGCCCAGGCTGCCCCAAGTTGGTTCTTTTAGGAACAAAATGCTACTTTCTCTGTATGTGTTAATAATTCACTTTTAAAAAAAAAAAACAAAAACAAAAACAAAAACCCAGCTCTTTTTCTTCAAGCGGTGATGACATAACAGGAAGTGAATTTATATTGATTTTAAAATGGACGGGGGTCAAAAGCTTTACAGAAAATGCTGGGGAAAAACTCTAGTTGGGTGAGGCCCCTCGTGACAGGTGATCTCCTTATTCCGAGAAAGGCGGCTCCTTGTTTAAGAAATATTTAGCAGCACGGCATTCAATGGAATCAGCCAATCTATTAACTCATGAGTCAGACGGAGAAAGTTCATCCAGGTAATTCAGACTTAATTAGAAAAATTAAGGAGCTGAAAATGAAGAGGGAGAGCAATCGGAAGCAGACCGCTTATAGCGATAAAACGTACACACACACACACACACACCAGTGTAAACTAGTTTATATGGAACCCTGAAAACAGGAAAATCCATCTTGGCACAGAGCCTCCTGCCCCAAGAACTTCCTCCGGGACTGATGCAGCTGAGAGCTCCCAGCACGCACCAAGAACTTTGCCAGAACAAAGCAGGAAAGCAACGTCAGGTTGCACACTTCGACACAATGGCCAAGGTTATACGTCCCCTGAGCTGTGAACCCCCAACGTTCAGTTCACCCTGGGCCCCCTCCCAATAGGAATAAAACCCACTGCATGAGGGTGGGCAGCTCTCCATTGTCCTGAATGATGCCCAGGAACCCACAAACCACCAAGGAAACATGGAGCTGCTGCCATGATGGCCAGTAACTCCTAGGGCAGTGCTAGCCCCTGCTCCTCTGTCCAAGGGCTGTTTACCGTATTTTTCGGAGTATAAGATGCACCTTTTCCCCCAAAAGTGAAAATCTGGGTGCATCTTATACTCCGAATGTAGTCCCACCCAGCTTCTCAAACGGAGGTTTCAGAGGCTGGAAAAAGCATCAGAAACGAAGCTTCAGAAAAAAAGCCTCCAAACGGAGCTTCAGAGGCTTTTTTTTCTGAAGCTCTGTTTCGGAGGCTTTCAGAGGCAGGAAAAAGTTTTTTCTGAAACAGAGTTTCAAAAGTTTCAGAGGCAGAAAAAAAAGCAAGGCACAGAGCTCACAACCAAGGAACCTGTTGCTAAAATTCACCTCTGGGAACAGCTGATTGGGGGTATTCCGGGAGGCCGATCCACCTGCCAATCAGCTTCTTTCTTATTTTCTTCCCCAAAAACTATGGTATGTTTTATACTCCGGTGCATCTTATATGCCAAAAAATACAGTAATCTTTCCTGCACTGCAACCCTTGACCAGCAGGGGACACTGTCTCCGATTCCTCAGGAAAATCAGCCTGTCCAGAAGAGAAATGTTGGGGTATCCCCATCATTTCTCTGGACTGGAAAATGTTAAGTCACTGAATCCAGAACTTCCCTAACTAAAACAACGCCAAGCCTTGAGCTAAGCTCTCCCCCCAGAGATGAAACCGTTCTGGCACCCAAAAGGATGCAGCTGGTTATTACGAGGTCTCTCATGCCCCCTGCAGACCCAGGTTGGCCATGAGGAGACCCTGGGAAAAAAGTCTGCCTGAAGATGCCCACCTGTGACCCTCCCCCACACCCCAAGACTGCTTCACTTGGGCCTGGCTGCAATCAAGACCCCAGGCCGCCCCAAGACCCCGTTTGCTGCCCAACTGCGTGATATTCTAGCAGAAACCAGGCATTGCCACTTGCCAGCTCAATTCCTGCCAACATTCATTTCCCATTAACCAGCATTTAGAGTTTAAGCGTGCGCGCACACACACAGAATTCCCTTCGTGATCTCCAGCAGACACTCTTTCCAAAGGCCATTGCCAAACTTCTCTTGCAAATTGTAAATGGGAAGTACAAGATGGAGACAGAGGATTATAAAGGTTTATTTGTCACATTTTGCCCTCCAGCAAATCCACAAAAACTGGGGGGGGGGGAGAGAGGAGGGCTGGGGCAAGGGAGAGAGAGAATGTCTGGATAGTGATCCTGTTGCAGGAGGGGACACAGCCTTTATTTGGGAGAGGGGGTGAGTCAAACCTTGGGGCGGGTCCAGCAGCTCCTCTCCAGGTCCCCAAGGGACAGGCAGGAGAGCTCCAACCCCACAGCAGGCACACACCCCCTCCTCACTCTGCTCTGGAAAGAGGCCGGCCGGAAGGCTCCTCCTCAGGCCAGGCCCGGGTGAGGACCTCCAGGCTCCAAGGCTTTGGGACTACAATGCCCAAGAAGCCTATCGCAAAGCCAAACACGCAAGCAGAATTGATGTATAACTGCATGAAGGCGGCCTTGGACTCCTACCAATATCCTGATGGAAATAGCTCATCAAGCCCCCAAGATCCCCGTCTCTCTTGTCCTGGATCCCAGCAGATCCCATTACTCATGCCACAGAAGACCCATTGCTGCCTTCATCTTTCCTCCAAAGAGAAACATGCTCTCCTTGCAAAGCAGGGTATCCCAAAAGCAGGGGGTGGGGCAGGGGAAGGTTCCTCCTTTACACAAGGCAGAGATGACTAAAACCCACCCGAAGGTTCCGATACCTTCCTGGGGCAGGATGACCCAGGGACCCCCATTAGCACAGCTGTTAAGAGGGGGGGGGATTAGATGCCTGGCAATCTTTACAGACTGATATTCGGATTGCAATTTACGTCTCTATCTCTGGTCCCAAAGGTGCTTTTTTCCCCCAAAAGGCAACTGAAGAAGCTTCCTAGATGACATGTTTTCAAGGAGAAAACCAAGGAAGTCCAGTTGCCTTTTGGGGGAAAAAAGCACCTTTGGGACAACCATCACCTGGATGACTGAGGATCTCCATAGCTCTGCATCTCTTCTTGCAGCTCAATGCAAGGTTCTCTCTGATCCCAATCAGGATCCCTTCTCTCTACAATGCTCCATGCAAACGAGGGGAGGGAGCAGTGCATTCCCATCATTAGCCAGTCTTTGCTTGGAGAAAGCAAACTGGCAGAACAGCTTCTTGGCAGTGGGAGGCCAGGGCACCCTCTCTCCCGGTTGGCACCCCTTTCTTCTCAACTGGGCCAGCTTCTCTGAAAGTCCCCATTCCAAAGCAGGGCAGGCGAGGGGCCTCACGAAAGAACTCCGAGGGCCGGCCTGGATAGATGGCTCTGCCCCTCTATGGTGGGACACAAGCAAAATCTCCTGCACACCTTTGGCCTTTCCTCGCATTCAGCAGCTGCAGGAAGAGAATGGAAGGACGCCTGGAAACTGCCTTGCCGAAGGATTTTTCAGGTTACACTGAAGCCCCACCTTCTCCCGTTCAGCCCTGCTGGGAAATACCCAAGCATGCCCAAGGGCCCACCCTCTCTCCCCTCGTCGAGGAGAAGTAATACTGGAAAAATGGTCTCTGATGCTCTTTGTTTCTGCAGTCCTCCCTCCCTCCCCCGGTCTTTTCAGGGCAGGCCAGATCACCTGAGAACATGCTGGATGCGAAGGACAAAGCAACTGCCATCCCTGCCACACTCTGAGTATTGCCAGCCAGGCTATACAACAAGCATACCCACCACCCCCGAGCTGTCAGTCAGCAGGCAGTGGCCTCTCCCGCAGAGGCTTCTGCACCAAGAGGTCGAGGGCTCCACATGTCCAGAGGGGCAGCTGCGACCTTGCTACCTTCAAGGCTTAGAGCACCCAAAACTCCTCCCAGGAATACAAGATGCTCAGCCTTGTGTTTCCAGGGAGCTCGGACTGCCCCCTTCCTCGGAGAAGGGGACTCGAAGTCTTATCTAAACCCCACCCCCTGCCCCCCCCCCCATTTTTCCCATCATCCGTTCTTCAGCTCAATTCCTGGCATTGTGTACTTTTAGTGTTCTTTCTGGTATCAAAACTTATAAAGCTGTAAGAAAATGTCCTTTACTTTTAGCCAATCATTTCATAGGATTTTCTGTTAAAATATAGACAGGATTTTCTCTCCCCCCCCTCCCCATTTTTTTGTTTAACAAAAGCTTCTAGTTAATCTGCTGCTAACTTTACAGGTATTTATCTACAGCCCCTCACCTACCCCAATTCCAAAGAAGAAGGCTAGCTTGGTGCCCCTTTCCCTCCTCCCCGCCCAGCTATAAAGCACCCCCAAAGCCGCCCTCCTGTTCTGGAGACAACTTGGAATAGCACAGCTGCTGACATGCCAAGTGAGGGGAGAAAAGGCACTCGACACAGAGACGTGTAAAACGGGCCCGAGGCTACCACAAAAAGCCCCGTCCAAACGAAAGAGGGAAAAGATAGAAAAACGCCACCAAAATAGTTCATCTGTATAAAATGCCCTTCCAGGTTAGAAAAAGAAGGAAAAAAATCCGACACTGATTAGGGCTCTGGTTAAGGCCAGGTCCAGGTTTCCGATTTCTCTACTGCAGCATAGAGACAAACCCAGAGAAGGCGTTTTTGGTTTCTCAGCAACGGCTTTTAGCACCTGCTTGAGGGCAGCCACGCTTGCAGGAAAGTGCTTTCCGTGACCAGGTCCAGGTGGGGCCCTCGAGAGGCCAGGCCTGCGTTTCCAGGAGGGCCTCTTGGCCAGGACTGTCAAGATCGAGCCCGGTGAGCTCCTCGCTCCAGAGGACAGCTTGCCCCCTCCCGCCTCTCCCCGCCTGCTGCTCTCAAGGCAGGACAAGTGCACAAAGGACAGGTCTTCTCCACTCAAGCAGCCCCGAGGCTGGCTGCTCCTCTTCCCATCCATGGAGGCGTAGTGTACCGAGTCAAATGACAGGTGAGGCAGGCATCACCTGGAAAGGCTTCTTTGGGGCAGGAAGGGTCTGGCCGAGGCGAAGCGCTCTCCGAGGCTCCTGCTGGGAGAATGGCGTAGGCTGGATTCATGAAAAGACATGGCACTGGACAGGATCTCTCTCTTCCCGTGGCAGCTGGCCTCTCGCGCCCAGCCCGCGTGCAAGGCCAAGGCGGGCACCAGAACTCCTGGCATTCCAGACTCTTCTGAGTGTGTAAAGCTCCTGAAGCAGAAGGGCACTGGGAAAGGGGGACGGGCAGAAAAAAAGACTCAGGTTTTTTTAGTGCATAGGGGGAAACAAATGACAGGAAAAGGTGAACAACAGTATTGACTTTCTTTCGCCCCACCCCCAAATCGGTTCCCCCCATCCCCATACATAGGAACGGCATTCCAAAGACTCCGCTAGGGACCAATGTCAAGGGCCCCTATAGAGAAGCAGCTTTAGGGCCAGGAAGCCGTCTTCCGGAAAGGCACAGAGAACGGCCCAAGGTGATCTGCAGGAGGCAGCCCTAGGTTCGATTTTCATGCCTTACGGTTAGAGCTACTCACTTCTAAATGGCCACCTGGTTGCCACCGACCAATCCTTTGTTTCTAAGTAAGGATGAAACGTTTTAGCAGGGGAGGAAAGGAAGCATCGTTTTAGAGAAAACAACAACAAACAAATGGCTGACACCTGACCCCGACCAAGCAAGGACAGACCCCCCCCACCCCCAACCGAAGCATTGAGCCTTTTCAACCAGGGCAATTCCAATGTCCACCTGTCTATTTGGTCCCAGGACTATTGTTCATATTGGGAAGAACATTTTCTCCCAATGCAAACAGAAGCTGGGAAAGCACCAACCTTTTCCCCCTTTCATCCATCCACCTCCTCATCTTCCTTCAGGGCAGTTATTTTCATTGGGACAGAACCAGAAGAGCCTTTCGTTTAGCCCCAAGGCTTCAGTGGGGGAATCTGAACTGCTTTACTACCGGGTTCGCTGGCTGCGTATGTGCAGTGTGCACCAAGCACTGAACGCAAGGTGCACGGGGGCGCAGCGCACGCCAAAAGGAGGCCTGGGGTAAGTAGAACAGCATGCGGGGGGTGGGGGGTGATCAAGTGTGGCGCGCGATCTTCGGAGCTTTTTTTTACCTTTTAAAAAGGCTCTGACAATCGCGCGCCACAACTGTGATCGTCAGAGCCTCTTTTTTTTTACTTTTTTAAAGCATTTTTACTACCAGTTCGAGAACCGGCAGTAAAAAAATGCCTAAAAAGTGTAAAAAAAAAAAAAAAAGTTCCAATCACCTGAGCAACACGCGATCTTGGGAACTTTTTTTTTTTTTTTTTAAAGCATTTTTAACTACCGGTTCCAGAGAACCGGTAGTAAAAAAATGCTAAAAAAGGTTTTTAAAAAGTTCCAACGATCACGTGTCCAATGATCATTGGAACTTTTTTTTCTTTTCTTTTTTACATTTTTTACTACCAGTTCGGTGAACCAGACCAAACCGGGAGCATTTCACCCTTGCCCCAAGGACAGAAACGGCACTAAGCCTTGCAAGAATCCCTTTACAGAGAATGCTCTGCTGGCTGATGGCAGTTGAAAGAACTTCTGCCCAAAGGGAGGGGCCCCATTCATGTACTTCCTGAACCAAGAAACACTGGGAACCGGGGCGAGGGGGGCAGGGATCCAGGCTTCCACAGGGTCGGAGGAATGGCTATGGGGGTGGGAGGAGCCAGCGGGTACATACCTTTGTCCATACGAAGTTAGCTGGGGACCCAACTGTGATTGGAAGCCTGCGATGTGCTCGGGTAGCTCGGAGTAGACGGAATGGGCTCAAAGTTGAAATCCAGTCCTTCTCCGTCCATGAGGTCGGTGCTGATGATGTAGTCCACATCGCACTGAAGGTCCTCCATGTACATATCAACATCCAAATCATTGGGCAGCTTATCCTGATTCCCGTCAAAGGCCGGGAAAGTGGCAGACAGAGAGGGCTGGGGGCCCAGCTGGCCCAGCTGGGCAGACGGTGCTGAGCCCGGAGTCTTCAAAGCGGACAGGCCGATGGGGCTCTGAGAAGATGCCGTCATGGTGAAGGTGGAGGGCAAAGCGGTGGCCCCAATGGACTCCAGCTGCTGCTCCAAAGGCTTTCTGAGCAGGCTCCCCAGGCTCATCTTGGGCTTGGATGGCTGGTCCCCCAGCAGGAGGTAACTCTGGCTGCTCACCCGGCTTCCGCTCTGCGGGAGAATCGGGTCTACCTGGGTCATCATCACATCGCTGGCAGGAGGCGAGTTGGACGTGAGCAGCTCCTCCAGTGACTGGGAGAAATGGCCAGCCGAGCCAGGCAGCAGGTGGTCCATAGGGCTGAAGAGGGAGCTGCCAAAGGAGCCCGAGGCCTGAGCGGCAGAGCTGGGGGCCCGCAAGGGGAAGCTGGGGTTCCTCTGGGCCGGCTGCTGAGTGGCCAGCAAGGATGAGGAGCTGGCCGACATCAGGTTCAGGCCGTCAATGAGCTCCAGCTCCTCCGTCACTGTGGGAGGCACGTTGCTGGAGGCGCTGGAGTAAACAAGGGTGGGGAGCAGCTCCTCGTCGGCCAGGTCGTCCTGCTCGGCCAGGACCGAGGAGAGGCCCACGCTGCTGGCATTCGAACTGGTCCGAGGCCGGATGCTGGTCCACACCTCTGAGTCCTCGTTGCTCCGGGAAGAAGGGCTGCCCGGCCACTTGGGAAACTGGGAAACCGGGCTGTCGGCCGTCGGTTCCGGAGCAGCTGCCATGGCCGGCTTCTTCCTGTGTGTTTTCCCACGCAGTTTGGCCAACTTGCTGCTGTTGTCCATGGAGGCCGCTCTTCTCCGTGGGGCTTTCCCACTTTTGCCACCTTCTGGATTAAGCATCCACCAAGAGCTCTTCCCGGTGGCCTCATTGTGCACTTTGATGAACTTGTTATGCAGGGAGAGGTTGTGCCGGATGGAGTTCTGGAAATAAAGCAGGAAGGACAGACGGTGAGATCAAGCCCAGAAAACTCAGCAGACAACCCCTGAGCCCCCTGGGCCATACGAAGAGCTTCCTGGGTGGCAGCTGCAGCTGCAGCCGCCACCCGCAGCCTTTGGGGCACTGACAGGCTGCCCTTTGACCTGTCAGACTGCTCCCACCTTCCTACGGTAACAGCCTGTGTGTTTTACGTTAGTTAGAGTCAAAATACCAACCAGGTGATACAGTTAAGACGTCTGAAGAGGAAGTTGCTAAGCACATTCTGAGACTAAGAACCAAACTTTATAGAAAGCCTTGCCGAACATCTTCCCCCATTTCTCTGTTACATAAACAAACATACATAAACATAATCTTCCACTTGTAACACTGACATCCGTTTCTCTTTTTTTCCAATACTTTTCTTTAAATAATAAAATGTTAATCAGTTCAATCGTACTACATAAACATTATGGTGGGGAAATCAGCATCCCCGCTGTATTATCACCAGATGCAAATAGTACAATCCATCAAGATTTATCATATTACAGTACTGGGGCGTGGGGGGGGGAGAGGTGCCTGAGCAACAAGGCAAAGCAGACCAACAAGCACCCTCCCCCCAAGTTTCCTTGCACCGTGTCCATTTGCCTCCTCCCACCCTCTTTTTCTTTCTTTCTCTTTCTTGGACCTTTTCTTCCCTCCCTGCAGAGCACAGGGATTGGGACATTTGCCATGCTAGTAAGCCCAAGAATGGCAAGAATTCTGCCACCTCATTTCCCTGCTGGCTTTTCACTGCCCGGGTTCATACCCTGCACCAAGCACTGGTTCAAGCAGCAGCAGCAGCAGCAGCATGCTGAATGTGTACAACGCATCAAGCAGCCCAAAGCAAACAGGCTGCATTGTGGTCCAGCCCTGCCTATGAACAGAGCCAGTGTGGCTCCTTCTGAAGGGCATTCATCCGCCTCCAGGCCAGGCGTGCAGAGAATGGGAGAGCAAATAGCAAACTGGGCGGCCTCGGCCCAAACCCCAACGGCCAATAACAGAAAAGACAGGATCTCTGTTACCCACCCAAGCGGCATGGAGCAGGCACAGATCTGACGTACGGCACTGGGCTACACCTACCTAGAAACCCAAGCGGCCTTGCCTTGGCTCTGCCCCCTAACCAGCGTTACTAGCTGTTTGTTGGCCAGGACAGCCCGAACCATCTTGCCAACTGGCCACCATCTGCGGAGCCAGAAGTTCACGGATCCCAAACCACAAAGCTGTTTTCAAATTCCAGCCGAGAATTCTTTGGCTCCCAGACTTCTTCCCTACAATCCTTGTGATGGGGCGAAGAGAAACCACAGCTCCTTCTTCCCCGAGTGCTCTTGATTTAGAACAGGATTCTTATTCGCCACGTGGGGGTTTTCGGGGCTGCGCATGGCTTCGGAGCTCCATCCCACAGGAGCCAACAAAGCAGCCGGTCAGCCACAGGACACCCCCCCCCCAAGTGAATACCACCTAGTTGCATAACCGGCAGATTCTGGCCTGGTGACAAAGTGACTTGAGAGCAAGAGGTGGGGAACAGCGTGTAACTTCCTAAGGATACTAGTCAGGTTTCGCTTCTGGGGAAGAGCCTCGTCTGCCAGAACCGCAGAGTGCTCAGTTTTGCGTCAAAGGAGCTCTTTGGCCCAAGAACAGGGCTGCTCTGGGACTGAGAGCCTCGGCTTCTCTTCTCAGGCCAACAGCCCCAAAGTCAGCCTGAAATGAAGGAACAGCCCAAGCAGAGGAAGTCAGCTGTCTCCTCTCTTCAGGACCGAGGAGGCTCCCTTACGCCAAAACCATCTGTCTTGATCCAAAATATCAGTGCGGTACAAGCAAACGAACGTCGTAAGACTGAGCCACAAGTTTTTGGGTGCAAAAGAGTGGAAAGAGTAGGAATCGCTCCCCAAAGAACAGCCAGAAGTTACGGCAAAGCAAAATAGTTTAGGACAGAGGGCGAGAGGAACCAGGTTCACACACTCTGCCAAGCTCTACTCTGGTTTGCTGTTCGCTTAGCATGGTTATAAATCAATTGTGACTTTAAAACAAAAGCAAAAGTTTAAAAAACAAGCTTAGTGGATGGGTGAACCCAGCCAGAAGGTTCTAAAAATGTCCAGGTTCAAATCATTAAATTGGATCACACATTCAGGGCAAAACGTTTGATCAATACTTCAACAAACCTTAACCCCTGAGAAAAAGGAAAACGGAAAACTTGGAGACCCGTGAACAAACTAGAGTCTGTTTTAAAACAAGTTCAGGATTACAAGCCTGTTACCTGATACCCCTTTCCAAACAGCAAGTTCTGTTACTGGGTAATTTCATGGGGGAAAGAAATCATGTTTTAAAAAAAAGATCCTTTGCGCTTCTGTAGCTCCTCCACTCCCCCATTTTCTGATGTGGGTTTCTTAGTCCTGATGACCTGAAAACATACCATTTTGGAAGAAGGCTTATTACTTTGGGAACTGTCATTCTACTTCAGGATATCAAGTGGTGGAAAAGCAGCACTCTAAAAAGCACCCCCCTCTGCACCACGAGGCAAACACAATTTTTGTAACACCATTTTGATACTACAGTTGGCCCCTAGAATGGATCTTAAAAGGGTTGAGTGGCAATAGTTCATTCAGGAGCTTCCAAACCTACAACCGTTTGGCAGCTGGTTGGGGCAAACTGTCCTCACCAGGACAGACAGGAAATGATGGTTTGATGAGCCAAACACTCAGACATTCCTGGGAGGAAGGAAAAGCATCTCCTGTATCAAATTGCCAGCTCCTACAGAAGCATCTGCCAAGGAAGGAATTTGCCCTCTGCAACGGAGCTGGAAAAGTTCAAGTCAACACAGCCAAGGAATATCGTGCTGACTGCAGAAACCAGAGACAAGGATCTAATGTTCTGAGGGCAGCCTGCTGGCCACACTGCACAACTGGCGGCATCACAGCCGCACTGGTCACCCGGGGTTCTTCAACCGAACAGAAAACAACTTTTCTCTAACCATGTTCCTCACATACCGTAATTTTGTATGGAAATCGCCAATCCCTCACCTCACTGGATTGTTTCACTTGATCCCTGCAGGCGAGATTTGGGGATATCTATTTACAGGTAGTCCTTGGGTAACAACCACTTGTTGAGTGGCCAAAGTTAGTACAGCACTGAAAAAGGGGTACTTACAACTGGTCCTTGAGGTTCTGGCTGGCCCAGCACCTGTCACAGACACACGGTCACAATCTGGGCACTTGATTCAAACTTATGACGGTGGTAGCATCCCAAGGTCATCTGATCACCATTTGCCGCTTCCCAAATCAAAGCAAAGTCCATGGGAAAGCATGCGGAGAAGGTTGCAACTTGCCCAGGTAAATCTCGCATGCCTGGCAGCAGCCATGCCAAGCCTCTCTGCACTGGCACTGCACCAGCCCCTCACACGCCCGTAGGTGCCCCCTGCTGCACCTTGTGCTATGCCAAAGTCTCACGCATCCTCTTCCCCCACAGCAGTCACTCACCTGCTTGCCAACCTGCAAGAGAGCTGCCTGGGACTTGCAACTTCCTGTTGGCTTCCCCACAATTGTGGTTGTTCAAAGCCAGCAGGGGATTGTAAGGAGATCCTTGCTTAACATCCTCCCTTATTTATTTTAATGTGATTTAGGGGGGAAATCCCTAAAATAAAGGAAGGGGAAGCACATTCAGACATACAAGATTCTGTTATTACAGGCACTGTAATAAAAATAATTTTAGGGCTACATGGCACCTGTTTCTTCAGCCAGCCTGCCTTGTAGGATTGATAGGGAGAGAAAGTGTGTTTCATCAAACTCTTAAAAACAGAAGGAGAGAGGACTTAGCTGTACAAGGCAAGGTGTCAATTTCTAGTCACATTCAGGATGACTGGGGAAAAACACAGCTTCTTGTTGTGTGGAAGCAAGGAATAAATTGGGCAGCAATATCAGCACAGCCGGAGATCATCCTTAGCCGGCAGATTACATGAAGTTCACAGACACCCAACTGAGCCGTTTTGCCTAGTGGTCAGTGAGCGCCAGCTTCAGGATCCCGGTGAAGGCACTGGGGGCAGATACAGCTCCCACCTGCCTCTCTCTGCACAGGCTCCTTCCAGGGGGGAACCTTTCTATAGGAAGAGAATTCCACTCGGGTTACCAGGAGCAGCGAGCAGCAGGAGGAAGGAGTGGGAAAGTGCCTGCTGGGACTCTGAACCCAACTGGCTCTGGGGTGGGGCATGTTTGTCCTATTCTGATTCAGTTAAGCACACCCTGTTTTTTTTTTTTAATCTACTCTTTCAGCCAGGAAACATTGGTTGATAATATCCTCTCTGCATTCTCTAGCATTAACTGCCCTGAAATATCACCAAGTTGAAACTCTATTTGCTTCCTTATCTTTGTTCAATCCTCCCCCTCCCCACCAAAACCTCCTTCTCCTCCTTGAACCGGTAATTGATAACCCAGAAACCTGGTGATACCGAGAAGCAGTGCACTGATATATTGCTGGCTGCATTCACACATCAACTCAAGCCATAACAGTAGCTTGTTCATTTGAAGTTTAGAGAGCTATATGGACCCAGCCATTGCAATCAGCATATAAGTATCCTATATGACTGTAGAAACTTATGTGTTTCCGTTAAAAAAAAAAGTCAGACCTTCCTATTGGTGCTTTCCCAAGGCACCACCATGCCTTCTCTGCATTTAATAAATTCACTGAAAAAGGAAGGATGCAGCGTAGCCTCCCTCATCCCGACTCAGCCCAGAAACGAAGAGGCTCTTAAGGGTAGGGAAAGCACAGAAACCCACTCTTTCTCCCTCCTGAGCTTTAAGGATGCGGTAAGGGGGAAATGTAAAAAAGTTATCTATAAACCATTAATAAGGAGATGCAACTACCCTGTGCTGCATTTTTTGAATATTCTCCTTTTAACTCAGTTCATTCTTAAATTCTCTGTCACCCACCAAGCCCATTCCCAAGCATTCAAAGCCAACAGGAACCTGCAGCGGTCTTCTGAAGAGGCCGAAAAGGAGCGTTAGAGCAGGTTTGGCACATCTTCATCTTACACTGAACTATGACAGCAAGTGCAGGGATCAAGACGCCTGTCTTTCTCGCCTTGCAATCAGCGCAGGAGCAGCTCAGCACAGAGTTTCATGTCATCAGTTCCAAATCACAGCCGGGCTTCTTCCATCTGCACCTCAGAAAAAATTCCCATTTTAAATTGCATGATACTGTACAGAACAAAACGTAGCCAAACACCGTCATAAAAAAATGACTGTTCAATAATTGCCCGTAGTTAGTGAACTTCCATGATTCAGCATCTTCATGCCCCTAAAAAAAAAGGCTGAGCCACCCTGAGTTTAAATTCTGCTCAAACGGAAAGGGCCATCACTCATAAATCTCTGCATTCCAGAACAGCAAAGACAACTGGCTACATGATTAGGACACCCCCTCCCTCCCCAGCATCAGTCATAAACGAATCTTTAAAACCAACAGAGACAGACCCTCCCCTAAACAAAGGCTTTGTCCTAAGCAGGGCTACGAAGCTTCTCCCTGTAAAGGAAGATGGCATTTCCAGGCCAAACAAATTTCTACCATATATGCACACTCTTAAAAAAGTGGATAATTCACACATCTGGTGCTCTCAGAACAGAGACAATCAGCCACTGAAAACGTCAACTGCCTTTATGGCTGGCACTGTCAATTTTTCAAAGGAACACAAGTCACGTTGAAAAGAGCCTTTAAAAAAATTTTTTTTTTCCAGCCATACTGCATTTCCTCAGAGCCAAAGAGACATGTCCGCTCTCGGCTCAGAGGTCTTTTCTGAAAGGAGGGCTGAGAGGGCTAGGAATGCCCGCTATGAAGGAGATATTTATATTAAGCATCAGCCCAGCTGGGTGACAAAGAGCTGAAGCCTGTGACTGAGAAAGTTGTGCGACACTGGCAGAGAGTCCTAGACTGGACTCCTGCCTTTCCAAGAAACAGCTGAGAACATTTACAAAGGGGGCAGGGAGTGGCTTTTCTTGGAAGTGCTGAAACAAAGTGAACTGCGGGGTCAAGCTCAAGAGGAAAGAGCACAACATTGGGGGGGGGGGAAGGGGGGAGTCATCTGCTGCACAGCTTCCCAAAGTCCACCCTTTGATGACTGTTCGGGATCCGTCCTGAGCATGTAAGTCAAGATTTAAGAAATCTTCACGGCAAATCAAGCCAGGCATTTATTATATCCAGATTGTCTGTCTAGCATGACTGGACATTGAGTAGACAAAATGGAACAAAGCTGTAAATCTCTTCCCAAGTCAAGGAACAGCCCCCAGCCCAATCCTACATTTACTTTTTCGGAGGCTGGGGAGAAAGGAGACACAAGAGGGAGAAGAAGCCTGCAGACATTTCTGGGCCTTTCTCAAGGCCTGCAGGGAGCAGCTTCCTTGTCCTCCCTTTCTAATTTCCAGCCACCGAAGCCGTCCTCTCACCGGCTGATCAGGTGAACCTCCCCACACTGCTTTGCCCTTGCAGTAGCACTGCAGGGTATCTGGGCCATGGCAATAATCAGGGCAGTGCGGGGAGAGCCAATCCCAGGCCTCTCTGCCCAGAGACACCCTGCGGGAGTCAATATTGCCAGGACACATGGCGTTCAATCCACCGTCCTTTCAACCTGGGCTGAAACTGGTACAAGGGTTAAGATTAAAGAGTTCCAGCGTGTCAGCTGTAAACGGGCTCAAGGCCAAGCAGCTGCAGCAAGTGGGGCAATCTGTAGCTGGGCTTGTTCGGTGTCCTCTCCACCTGCCTGTGTGATTTTTTTCCTCCCTAACCAGAAAGGAAGCAGTTGCCCTACCTGGCAGGACGGAAGAAGACTTCAAAACCCTTGGCACCAGGAACCCTGCAAGATGGCAAAGCCACCAGGCAGGCCAATCTATAGAGACCAGCAACCCCACCTCGTCTAAAAGCAGGTTCCAGGAAGCAGCAGGTTTCCTAAAGCTGGCATTCTGCACATGCTCAGAAATGTTCCATTTTTAGAACAGCACTTTATCCTGAAGCTCTGGAAACTAACTCCCCGTTCCAAGTAACTTGGACAGCTAACAAATGAGGGGCTGCTGCACACTGGCCCAAAGATGTGCTGCCCGTTTCCAAATATGTGGCGGGACATGGGGAATAGCCGGTGCTGAACTGCCCGGTTCTAACCCTGCCTTCCAGAGCTGTTTTCTATACAAACGCAACAGGTTTGCAAGCTGGCACTAAAAGCTGCTTTCTGATGAAACAATGCCAGAATTTCCACAATGCACCTGCGGGGCGGGGGGGGGGATGGGACAGGGAAACCACCCTCAAAACATCAGACCCTCCCTGCCCGTTTTTTTAGAATTTACCAGAAATCCTGTGGGTTTTCTTTTTTACCCTGCCAAAAAGAGTTGGGGAAAGTGTGTAATTTACTGCCTTTCCATTCCTATTGCAATGATTCAAGAGGGGGGAAAAAATGGGATACTTTGGCAATGCAGTATTTTTATCGCACAGAACTCTCTCTCTCTCTCTCTCTCTCTCTCTCTCTCTCTCTGTGTGTGTGTGTGTGTGTGTGTGTGTGTGTGTGTGTGTGTGTGTGGTTTTTTTTTTTTCTTTAAAAAAAGAACAGGCTAACTTTCAGGTTCCAGGAGAGCCTTCTCCTGCCAAGTTGATAAAGTGGTGAAAGGCTGCAAAGGGCTGAGAGCCAAGGCCTCCTTCACCGGAGCAATTCTCGGGGTGTTTTGTTTTTCTTTTTAAAAACCAGCCTGGAATTCAATACCGCCAAGGAAAAGGGAGGCCGCTCTCCCAGGCCCAGCCCGGCCTCCCTCGCAGGGCCGTCGCAGCTGCCGAAGTGGGCTGTGCGGGTTGTGTGTTGTGTGGGAGGGAGGCTCACCTTCCAGCCGGCGGAGCTGTTGCTGTCGCCCTTGTCGCGGAAGTAGGGGACGGAGCGGACCATCCACTCGTAGATCTGCGCCAGGGTCAGCCGCTTGTCCGGGGCGCTCTGGATGGCCTGGCTGATCAGGTCGGCGTAGGACTGGCTGCCCCAGGCGTTCCGCCGCGCCCCGCCAGACCCCGCGCCGCCCTTGCGCGGCCCCCCGGCGCCCCCCGGAGCAGAGCCCGGCGCCGACCCCGAGGCGCCCCCGCAGGCCTCCCCGCCGACCCCGCCGCCCGGCTCCTCGGGGCTGGCCGCCGCCTCCCCGGGCTCCGCTCCCACCACGGCCACCAGCTCGGGCCGGGGCAGCGGCCAAGTGCAGGAGCGCGGCCGGCTCTGCGGGGGGAACTCCGGGTCCAGCGCGGCCAGCGAGGAGGAGGAGGAGGAGGACTCGGCCGCCTGGGGGCTCCCGGCCGGTTCCGCCATGATGGCGCCGCCGCCGCCTCTCCCGCCGCCTCCCTCAGCGCCGCCGCCACATCAGCGCCTCAGGCCGGGCGCCCGGCGGGGAAGCGCCCGCGGAACTCCGGGACCGACGCCGCGGGCCTCCCCCGTCCGGCCTCGCTGCTCGCTGCTGCCTTCGCCCGCTTCCCGCCGCGGCCTGGCCGCTCCTCAGCCGAGCGAGCGCGGAGCCACGAGAGCAGCCCGCCGCCTCGGCGGCACTCTGTTTACCACAGGCGAGGCAGGCGGGCAGGGGCCCCTCCGCGCGTGCGCCGCGCCTCTCCGCGCCGCCAGGGACTCGCTTTCCCGTCAGGCAAAGCGAGCGGACGGGCGCTCGGCCGGAGGAGCGAGGCGCCCCACCACCACGCTTCTGCGACTACAACTCCCACAAGGCCTCGCGGCCCGCGTGCCCCTTCTCTTTTCTTTCTTGGGGCCCTTACATAAGCAGGCGGCCAATCCGCTGCCGCCAAAACAAGCCCGCCGTGCCGAGGAGACGCTCCTTCCCCCCCTGCCGGCTGTTCCAAGTTACGCCCTCCTCCTTCCCGCCTCTTGGCTGTGACCTCTTGTGCTGCCTGCCAGCTGGTCTTGAGCCGCCGCAAATGGGGACGGGGAGGGGGATTAACACTGCAAATATTGGCATTTCAGGCAAGGAGGAGAAATCGGCCTCATCATCTCATTTGGCAAAGCTACCGCAGCCTCCCAAGATTCAGAGGGGCAGAGAGGGCAGACGGCCGCTTTTGGCACCTTCCGTGGTGCATAAATCCATCCCATGTGCTTGGTTACAGCTTAGTGCGTCATGAACTGTTAGACCTTCCAGTTGAAGGAAGTCCTTTAATCACGAGACTTTCTAGCAGGCGGTGTGAAGCGTTCCTCCCTGACATGTCATGCATTTTTCTTTTGACAGGCCATGGGACCCAAGCCATGCCACCTACCGAGACTGGACTAAGGTCTTAATATGCACAATAGTTAACCTGATTATTAAAATATTATAAAATAACCTGGGCAAACTGGGTTTCCGCAACAAAACTAACCAAAAGTTAAAAGTGGCCAGTCAAGCATGGTCTAGGGGGGGAATGGCTGCAGGTACCGTGAGAATTGGGGCCATCAGGGTGCAATCCAAGCTCCACCTGTTTTTAATGCATGTCGGAGCCCTCAATCCACCATCATGGCCATTCCCGATAGTAAGCAGTAACAGAAGGGAAAAGGCATCTCTGGATCCACACTTTCACCGTTGCTTTTGAGCAAAAACACACCTTTATTTAAACTACCAACTGAACCATCCCAGAGACAAGAAGGTACGTCAGGTGTCGCTCTCCGAGATCGAGAGAAATCCCACAGGGCCTGGGATCCCTGCTCCCTGCCTTCGGGCCGCTGCTATGCCCTGTCCAAAGATGCACCTCCTGAAGTTAAAAGCAGGCAGGTTGTGGGAAATTCTACCTCTGCGGAATTTGTGTCCCCAGTTCGGGACAGGGGCGAATGGGAGCTCTCTATATAAGGTCATCCCTGGGAGCCCGCCTGCTGCAAAACCCCTTAATCCTGGCTGGAGATTCTGGGAGGTGCAGCCCAGCCCATTTGGAGGGTGAAAGGCTGCTTCTTTCTATCCAGTTCTTCACCTTCACCTTGCCGGTTCTTGCGCTTTGCTGACACCTGCTGTAGGAACTGGCTGGTGGGGTTTTTTTTTCCTTCTTCCCGTTCTGGCTGCAGCACTTTTCGCCTGCGTTTTGCTTTCAAGTACTTAGCGGCTGCTGCTGCTGCTATTACTATGCCAGGGTCTGCTTGGGTTCTGCTTTTCTATTTTGAAGAAGGCGGTTATAAATGCATTGAAATATCAGGAGAAGGAAGAGCAGGGTTAGAATGGGAGGGGCAAGAACCATCCCCACCCCGAACCTGTAGGACCCTTTGTACGTTTGCAATCCGATAAAGGGGAAACCCCACAAAATGCATATTAATTTCGGTATATTTGCACGTTTTCCTCCCCCCCGCGCCTCTTGCACAGCGCCAGAGACCCCCCTCGGCTCCACAGGACAGGGCGAGGCAATCTCGCGCATGCGCCCAAGCCACGAACATTCCCCCTCTACGAGGCGAGCGGCATTTCCTTGCGGTGCAGCAGTCGGGGCCCTCTGACAGGCAGCCCCGGATCGTGGATATTTCCTCCCTTCTGCCGGGTGCGGGTACGGCGGTAATGCTAAATGCAGGTTCCCGGGACCGGAATTCCGGAACCCCGCGCCATGGATAAGGCGTCAAATCCCCTTTCCCGGCAAGGAGAGGCTTTGGCTTGTGCGCGTGGCGGGGTTGGCGCGCCGCGAGCCCCGGAACCTGGATCCCGCCCGCGGTTATGCAGGGCGGAAGGGACGCCGCGCCTATCCGCGCAGGTTCCGGGGCGGCGCTATGTATTGCGGCGCCGCAGCGCTGAAGAGGCGGAGGCGGCGGCGGGAGTAGTAGCGGCGGGGGCGGCGGGGCGGGTTCCGCTGAGGCGGCTCTGACCGACTTCGCGTCCCTCCATCATGTCCGAGGCGGCGGTGGCCGACACGCGGCGCCTGAACTCGAAGCCGCAGGACCTGACGGACGCCTACGGGCCGCCCAGCAACTTCCTGGAGATCGACATCTTCAACCCGCAGACCGTGGGCGTCGGGCGGGCCCGCTACACCAGCTACGAGCTCCGCATGAGGGTGCGTGGGCGGGGCCTCGAGGGGGCGGGGCTTCCCCTACTGACCCCCCCCTCCCGGATGGGGCTGCCAAGGGGGGCTTGCGGGGGAGCCCATTCCGGGACAGGAAAGCTGCCTGCCTGGGGGGAGGGTCTCCTCTTGCTCAGGAGGGGCTGAGAGCCCCCCCCCACGAACCCCTTTATTAAAGCCGGGGGGGGGAGAGTTATGGGTCCACGTGCACAGCTAAGGGGGGGTGGATGTCCCCCCCCCCACCCCATGGCTGATAGAAAAGGCAGCCGACCCTGCCAGGAGAGCGTGGCCCTGCAGAGGAGCCCCTGCCCGGATCCTGGGGGTGGGAGGTGGTCTGGAAGCTTTGGAGGGGGGGTATTGGGGGAGATGTGCAGGAAGGAGAGGGGGGTCTTCTCCTACAGGAGGCCCAGAAATGGGTCCCTGCCCTCTGAAACCGCCTCTGGGGGAAGGCGAGGAGGAGGAGGGGTGGGTGGCCTTCCATCCTCTCTTCTTTCCCACCCAGACAAACCTGCCCATCTTCAAATTGAAAGACTCCTGCGTGAGGCGACGATACAGTGACTTTGAATGGCTGAAGAACGAGCTGGAGCGGGACAGCAAGGTGAGTGCCCAAGGGCCTTGCCTGGAGCCCCCCTCTCGAAGCCTGCTCTTGGGCTGAGCATCTGGAGGAGCCACGGGGGAAAACGGTGCAGCTTGGCAAGCGTCCGGTTCTCCTCCACGCTAAAACGATAACTCTGGGTTTACAGATTGTAGTACCTCCGTTGCCGGGCAAGGCCTTGAAGCGCCAGCTTCCTTTCCGGGGAGACGAGGGCATTTTTGAGGAGTCCTTCATAGAAGAAAGAAGACAAGGCTTAGAACAGTTCATCAACAAGTAAGGCCTGGGGGGGGGGGGGGGGGGGGGGCTGGGCTGTTTGGGAAAGAAGGACTGGGTCATGCAAGAGGCAGGGGTAGTGCTCGCTGAATTTTAAGGGGTTCATGTTTTGGCTTAGTGCGTTAGATGAGGGCTCTCCAAACTTGGCAACTTTGACTTCAACTCCCAGAATTCCCAAGCCAGCTGGAAAGTCCACATCTTAAATTTGTCAAGTTTGGAGATCCCTATGTTAGATTAATTTGTTTTAGTAGACACTGTTTGAAACCTCAGTTAAATTGGACAAGCAATTCTCGACTGATAACCATAATTGATGGTTGTTAATCATCAAGCAGTCACTGTGCCTGATTTTATGACCTTTTTGTGGTGGTTGTTAAGTAAATGTAGCGATCGGTAAACAAATAAGTTTAATTCAATGGGTGTTTTTTTGCCAGAAGCCAGAACTAAGCACCAGAAATCAGCACAAAGCATCAAAAATTGTGGTTGTGTGTCTGCAACCTTTACAGCTGAATCCTTTCTGTATTTGCATGACAGGGGGGTAGGGATGGCTGTCCAACCTTTGAAATTGGGTCATAAGTCTATGTTTGAGGGGTTGGTGGTAAATCGAGTTATGTTTGAGGGGTTGGGGGTAAGTCGAGTATTTCCATTATATTACCATTAAATATATTTCCATTAAATGAGCACAACATGCTTAGAGTTAAATAGTTGGAATAAGTTCAGGCAAGGCCTGGGTTCGAGTCCATCCTCAACTGATAGATTCACCTCTTTTTTGCATCTTGCCTTATCCAGTTGTGGGAAAGCGGGAGGGAGGAATATCCTGTATGCTGCTTTGAAGGCAGGAGGTGGACATTTGTCTCCTGCTATGGGCAGAGTGCCCGGTTTTATTTGAAAAGTGCTTGCCCATCAGAAAACATATCTCCTCCGTCAGGATAAGAACCATATGCTGTTGCTCAGCCTGCTTCCTCTGCCACCGCCAGCAGCTCTGCCTGTTTTCTGCCTCTCATAGAAAGTGGCTTCTTCTCCATTTATTTTCCCAATGGAGCCCAGGGAAGAGAACCGAGCGAGGGCCCAGATCCCTGAGCAAACTCTTATTCCAGGGCCAAAGGAGAAAGAACGGCAACCACCGCAATTAAAGCCCTGCAAGACCATGATTGCGTTGTGTACCATTGTGATCTTTCTTTCTTGTGTAATGTCAGCCAGCAGGTAGCTATTGAACCTTGTAACCCCCCTGCCTTTCCTCCTTTCTCCTGGTAGAATCGCTGGACACCCGCTGGCACAGAACGAGCGCTGCTTACATATGTTCCTGCAAGAAGAAACTATCGATAGGAATTACGTCCCGGGGAAGGTCCGCCAGTAGGGGAGCCTGGCCTCTCTTCCGTTTTTTTTCCTCTCTGCAAAAATGACATTTATTTTTACACTTTCTTCTGAACCAGCTTTTTTTCTCTCTCTCTCTGAACTCCCCTACTTCTCCAGTGTTGCCCATCATGCCATCCCATTCCACCCTTTTGTCAGGCAGCCATGACAAATTCTGTTGGGTTTTGGTTTCTGCATGAAAGGTGAGGATTTATGAATAGCTGTACTTATCGGTGGATGTGTAAAGCTTGCCAGGAACCTGTGTAAGAATATACACTCGGGATCTGAGCCTTCTGCTTTTGAGTAAGGAGGGAGTTTTCCTGCCTGGACAGATGTCCCCGGGGAGAATTTGGCACAGAGTCTGTTGCTCAGAGCTGTTCTTTCTGTCAATATTAGTGTCTCTCGGCCCTGAATGATTAAAGCCAGTTTCTGCTTTCCAGTCCCTTCTCCCTTCTTTGAAGGTAGCCTTATGGACCAAAACCTCTTTTGTCAGTGATCAGGCCTTTGGGAAGCCCACGCAGCTGCCATGCAGGGAATCTGGTTCCCCTTTTCCTCGTTGCAATGTTTGGAGGGGCTTTGTGGTACCTTGCCCAAAATGATTTCCCAGGTGAAGCACAGAAGAGCTTTTGCCAACTATTTCTGGTGGGAGAGAGAGGATCCCCAAGAGAGTAGGCAAAATGCGCACCCCAGCAGATAGGAGGCTCCCCAAAATTTCTCAGCAATGTCTTGCGCAGGCCACTCTGGATGATACCGTGCAAAATTACAGGTTCCAGTAGCCTGACTTTTACAGCAAAAGGCTGTGCGAGCGTTTCATAGGAGCCGTGTGGGGCTTCTTCAGCCCCTGGTTTGTGCTGCAGCTGCAGAGGTCAGCCATTCGATCCCAGGAAAGAGGCTGCAGTGGCGATTTTGGGGAGGGGGAGGTTGTTTTTGTGTTTGGCACCCTGCGTGATTTCAAGTCCTTTTTTGCCTTTGAACTGGAAGTTGTACTACGTGGTGCTTGGCCTGCTTTTGCAGAGTCTCTGAGCTCACAACTCCGTGCTTGCAAGATTGTGGTGCAAAGTTCTCTGCTGTTTAATGTGTAATGAAAGGGGAGATTTTATAGGTGGCTTGTGGGTATTTTGTTGTCCCCTAAGGAGCCGCCTCAGTTGAATAAGTCTCTCTAATGCCCAGCATTCTGTACGGGTTGCCCCCTGGGAGGTAGGGGGAGAATATCAGTCCATGCCCCGAAGCTTTAATTAAAGTTACTTCTTTCCCACCGTCCAGTTTAGGATGGGCAATTAACTGGGAATATGGAGTAAAAAGGGAGAGGCCCTATACGAATTACGTTCTCAGCATTCCTCCAGCTTGCCCATGTGGGTTGAACACTATTTGAAGGGCCTCCGGTCTCCCTTCCAGCTCTGCATAAAGTCCAGCGGAGGGCAGAGCAGGGCTGGGAAAGGTCAAATGAATTGAGATGACCAGCAAGCGCTAGATAGCAAGCAGTCTTCCAGGCATCCAGAGCTGCTGCTTGAAGGATATCAGAATCCCCATTTGGAGCAGCCTGCCAGCACCGTACAAATCTGCGTTTGCTGTGGGTTTTAAATATACTTTTATTTGGTGCACAAGTCTGAAGATCCATGGCTGTTGCTGCTGTACCTGAAGTACCTTTGGAGGGGAGGGGGGGAGGCTTACAGGTCAGCCACCTGTGTCTTGGGCTGACTGTCTGATGTAACGTCCCTCCGAGACTTGTTCACATTAAAACCACTGTGAAGCCAACGGTGTCTGCGTGTCCTGCCAGGAAGACTTTTAGGTGGAAAGACGGGGTGCCTTTGGTGGCGGTAGAGGCTGCTGTGGCCATGCTGCCAGGACCTACTTTAAAGTTCCTCTGCCTTCTGCAGCGTTTGGGGGGGGGGGTTGTGCTGAGAAGCTCCCTGCCTGGGCTTTTCCAGCTGGGCGGGATTCCTGGCCCAGAGGGCTCATGCTGCTGCTCTTTGCCCAGGCCTGGGCGTCCTTTGCCCTGGGGAGGGAATAACGGAGCCTGCCGGAGGCCGTGAAAGGCGAGCGCTGCTGCTCGGCTGATGCCCCTCTGCCAGTGGGTCGCGCTTGGCTTTGCCCGGAGGTCCAAGGGGCACCATCAGCCCGGCTGGCCGGCAATTGCAGCAACCCGGGAAAGACGGGCGAGTGGGGCTCCGAGTGAGGGTCTCCCTCGCCCCCCCACCACCACCCCCACCTCCGCTCCTGCCGGGACCGTCCGAAGGGATCAATGGGCGCTCGTGGAGGGAGCCAAGATCCGCCAGGGGGACACAGGTAACCTCCCCCCTGCAGGGTAAAATAATGGTACGCTCCAAACCCGGCCTCGCAACCAACCATCCACCCCGCCCGGAGCGCGCTGGGCGTCGGAAACGAGAGAAAAAGAGGGGGGGGAGTGGCGGCCCCCCTCGCTCAATTCCGATTGGGCGCCTCGCTGCACGTGGTTAAGAAGGCTCCTCGGCGCCGATGGGATGAGGTCTTCGTCGGATTGGTGGAGGGTTTCATTGGCGGACCAATGAAAAGGCTGGCGCGGAATGCGAACGTGGCGTCGCGGGCGCGCGCCCGGCTGCCCAGCTGGCCCTTCAGCTCGGTGGCCGGAAGAGAAGGGCGCAGGTGTGTGTGGGGGGGGGGGCGGGGGAGCGGATTCCCACGTGAGGTTTCGGCCCCGGCGGGAGGACGGACGTTCAAGCAGCCGCCGCGGCGAGGCCCGGGAGGAGCCGCCTGCTCGTAACTGTCCCGCTCTCCATTTGGCATCCCTGGAGGAAGCGGCTGCAATAAAGGCGAATAAATGGTAGGCAGTCCTCGACTTACGACCACAATTGAGCCCAAGATTTATGTTGCTAACTGAGAAAAGTGTTGGGTTTTGCCCTGTTTTATGACCTTTCTTGCCTCGGTTGTTAAATGAATCACTGCAGTTGATAAGTTGGGTGTTGTTCAATGAACCTGGCTTCCCCGCGACATTGCAACGGTCATAAATGTGAGTCGGTGGCCAGGCATCCGAATGTTGACTACCTGATCACGGGGGACACTGCAAAGGTGGTAACTGAAAAATGGTCATCGGCCCCATTTCCCGCTGCCGTTGTAACTTCGAATGGTCACTAAATGAACGTAAGTCGCTAAATGAATGTAATGAGGACTGCCTGTACTTACTCATGGTAGTATCACACCTCGCAAGGTGGTGGCTGTGCAGGGGAGGAGTGCTGCCTCAGGCTCCCAAGAGAAAGGAGGGCTCTCAATCGGTGCCCGTTGGCCTTCGGTTTCATGGCCTTTTTAACGATAAATTGCCATCATGACTTGTGGATCAATAATCATTGATTATTTCAGTTTTGAAACTCTTGCAAAAGTTCTTTTGCTTTGACCTTGTACCTTGTCTGCTGGGAACATTGGGAAATAAATAAAATCTGCCGAATGCCGTTTCGTAGCTGATCATTACAGAGGCAGTGCCTGGATTCGGATACTGCATGGTTGCCTGATCTTCAACTCTGCTGCAGTGATAGTAGGAGTAGCTGGGTCTATTCTGACTCCTTACATTTTAACAAACCATCTTGAACATAGGAACAATTTTGATTTGGTGGCAGCAGTTTATTCTTATAGTAACTACATTTAGCAAAGATATGTAAGTCAACAAAAACATTGAAAAACTTTACAAAGTTGTGGGGTACCAAGGATCAATTGAATTATCAATCTCTGCTAAATAAGCATCTGGAAACACTTATTCAACCCTAGAAACATATGAATCAAGATAGGTTGCTTGTTGACATAATTTTGCAGTGTATTTATCTACCGGAGTTGTCAGCATTGTACATTTACAAACTAGATCTAAGTCGGAGGCCAGCCATATTTGGGTTATTTAGGGGTAGGATGCGTAGGGGGAAGAATTGAATTCAGATAATAGGGGAACTACCGGAAACACAGCTGCGTTTTCTGGAAAGTGAAAGGTGGGCAGCCTTTTTGACTCACAAACTTGTGCGGGATTCCGAGCTCTGTTTTGCCAAGCCATGCAGCCTTAGGGTTCAAGTTCATGCTGGTCCTCTACTTCTGCTTGTGTTTCAACAGCTGGAGGCAGCAATATAGCCAAGGCAGAATCTCAAAAATATATAACGGAATTGTTGCCCCATCAGCTGAGAAGCAATCCTCCCTGCCAGTCCGTGCCCCACCTGTTTCCTGATGCAAGGGTGGCTAATCACCAGCAGAGGGAAGTAAGGTTCCAAAGAATCTCCTGTCCAAGTTAGAAGAACAGGGAGTATCTCCATGTAGTAGGATCTGAAAAGCAGAGGTTTGATTCAAAGGCGGATAGTATCTATCCCAGCAAGAACCCCGGTTGTGTAGATCTAATCTGCGTGGGAACAGAGCTGGAAAATCTCTTTCCTTGCCTTTGGCTCAGACGGTGAATGAGAGGGAAATGGAATTACCATTTTAAAAGATTAACTTCTCCGGTTCATCAATTTTCTGAACAAGTATCCTTATAATTATATGGATTTCTATTTATTGGAAGTCCATTGTTGGGTAATAAAATACTCTACCTAGTGGATTACAGAACAATTTTAAATTCCTGATTTTGCAATCCAGTCAGAAGCAAGTGGGAAATAAGATTTGCTACTGGTATTTTTCCATGAGAATAGAAGAGAGTAGCAAAATCTCTTATTTGAAGGCTAAGTCTCAGCGTTTCCAGGACTGGCCATTAAGTGGGTAGAATAAGATTTTTCTATGACATGAGATTAAATATTATGGTTTGAAAATTAAATGTTAAATTTTGCAATAATAAGGTAGCTGAATTAATGTATCATATTAATGCCCAAACTGTTCATTAGAGTTATATATCTTACAGTTCTTGTTCTATTGTGTTTTATGGAATGTTGTATAATAGTATGTCAATACTAGAAACCGAACAGACATCCTAGTATCAGTGGAGTAATTCTAATAAGAGCTAGAGTATAAAGAGCAGTAGGAATTATTTATCCTACTGAAGCCTGCAGAAAAATGTATAAATTTAAGTTTGGTATCAACACTGTTCCCTGGTGTGGCATTCTATGAAGGAGCCAGGCCATGGAAAAATGATGTAGAGATACTAGATAAGGGGTTGGATTAATGATTTCCAAAATTGTTTCCAATAATTCTATATTTATCAAAATAAATCTGTCATACTGAGCTGCGGTGTTCCTGGTAAAATAAGATTCTCTGCGCAGTTTTAACAAGACTGAACAGTGCCGTGAAATCTGGTTTTGCAATAAATTTGTACTTGGAATTATAAACCGACTTCTCTGCTATCAATGTGGGGAGGAGCTCTTCCTGTGCAACAACAACACACTTCTTGCTAGCTTCCTCTGTATAGATGTGGTCATAAAGGCAGATTGCTGGAAAAAGAACTATTCCAGTTTGTAATTAAAATACCATTTTTATATTGGGATGCTTTGTCAGTTGGGAAAATTGATGGAAGACGACAGGCAAGGAAACTGGTAGATTAGAGCGTTTTTCACAATCCAGGTAGTCATGGATTCCTTGCAAATCTGCACACGTGACCACTTCAGGGCAGCAGTGATCCACACGACGTTTTGGCCATCTGCCTGGCTCTTTATCCGCTAGTCATGAGGTTTCAAGGGTGGTGATTCTTGCTCTCTGATCCCCACTGAATGGCTGTGAAGTTGCGTAAAAGGCCCAGATTTCCATTCACAGCCAAACCTTAATTTAGGCAAAAAGCTATATAATTAAAAAGTTGCATTTATTCTGCACTGGATTCCGTTTCAACCTTCTCCCCCCTTCCCTCTGCACAGTAGCAGAAAGATGAGGAAAGTGTCACGTTTGAAAGGGTGAAGAATTCTGTTTGGTATGTGAGTTTGAAAAGTGCCTATTAAATTCCAAAGAAGTTGTCCTAACCACCCACCCAGGGAGGTCGGGGTATGAAGATTTCAAAGGCCTGGAAAAGGATTGCTGGGTTGGTGTGAGAAAAGTTGAGTGAGAGACTCATCTCTTCATTAATTATTCACTTCTTCAGTCATTATGAGGTTAGAAAACATCTGGCCCTGTTTATTCTATGTCCTGAATGTGGTTAATACTTGTTGGAACGGTGGAAACTAATGAGAAGAATCCAGGCATGGATTTTGTGGAAAAGAAAAAGATTTCTAGATATTTTTGAATGGTTGTATGGTATTTACATGTGTCTTCATTTGATGATGATGATGATGATGATGATGATGATGATGATTTTAAAAAGAGCCCATGTTCTGAAAAGGGCTGCTTGAGAGTATATGATAAACATCTATTAAAAGAAACATTGATATAGTTAATGGCTTTACCTTCTCTTCCATCATCCTTGGCATAGCTAGCCTAAGCATTTGTCTCTTTGACATTCGATTAAACTTGTCTTCCTGGCTGGTTGTAGTGGGGTCTGGTAGGAAAGCCAGCGGCCAGCTATCTGGCTTTGGCTTCCTGTGTCTGTCAGAACCAAGTGGCTGGAAGCTGGCCAGCCGCTCAAGCCTAAATCAAATTGCTTGCAAGAGTTTATTGGAATCTGGCATTTGGTAAGCCTTCCCCTCTAGCACAGATGGCAGTCGGACAAAACTGGGAACCTCTGGCCTGGCCCTCTAGGCAGAGTATGGCCCTTTCCTCAGCGGGGCGGCTCCCAGCCTCTTCCCTGGCTGCCTCTGTGTAAGTCCGTCTTGCCTGCAAGCTGCGGAGATCTCGAATGCAAGCTTGTCACTTTGCCTCTGCTCACCTTACATAACCCATCTGCCTTTCCTGTTCCCCTACTGCATCACCCCGTCGGGTTCCTGGTATCTTTATTATCTTTGGCAGGGCTGGTTTTTCCTCTTTTGTGCTGAAATCTGTAGGGTGACCCTACTTCACCTCATCTAAACTCGAGAGAGTGGCATTTCTAGGGAAATTAATGGATCTCGTTCTCTGCCCTAGCCAGGTTTCCTTCCTCTCCATGGCTCTAGAACATCACTCAGACAATTGAAATGGCTGCATGTATTCTCGTCTTCATTCCAGGGGTGAAATGCTCCCAGTTCGGACCGGATCAGGCGATCCGGTAGCGATTGTGGCAGGTGGTTCGGAGAACCGGTAGCGATGGTGGCGCAAGGCTCCGCCCACCCGCCCGGGTGTCGTTACTTCCTGGTCTTATCCAGGAAGTAAAGTGTTTTTTACTCTCTGTGCATGGGCAGAAAGGTTTTGCACATGCGCAGAGGGTCTGCGCGTGCATCTGACGCGTGCGTGGCGCATGCACTTCCGAACCGGTAAGGAAAAGTAGATTTCACCCCTGCTTCATACTACAAACCACAGAGGACACCGAATAATAGCACAACATTTTATTTGGTCCAACAAATGCATTACGATGCTGCGTATTATATTCATGTTGAAGAACTTTTGTGCACATGTACCGTAGATGTTCAAACAAGACAACAAAGGTCTGTTAAAAAAAGTGGAAATCTCTCCCTCTTGCCCTGAGCGAGGCTGCAGAGTAAGGTAAAGTTAGGAACACGAGAAGCTGCCTTTGCTGAATTGGCCCATTTATCTCAGGTTGGGTTCCAGACACGGTGCTCCCAGCCTTTTCTGAAGATCTGGGACCTTCTGCCCATGAAGATTCTGCCACTGAGTTACAAACCCTGAACTGAGATGGTACCAAATCTCCTTCCGAAAGAGGAAACGTCAAAAGTGTGCGTACAGAGCTAACTTCCAAAACACAACAACAAATTCAGTGTTGGCCCTGCACATTCACAATTTGCTTTTGGAAATGTTGGGGAAATTAATCATAAGACTTGGAACAGAGCTGCGTGAAGTTTGAAATGGCTTTGG